AAAAAAAAAAAAAAGATATGTAATGGGGGAAAGATTGAGCTGACACTTTTTTTGCAGATTTGGCGGGGGCCGGGCTTGAACCCGCCAACCCTGGTATATGGGGCCAGTGCCCTACTCCTTGAGCCACAGGCGCCATGTAGGCTAACACTTTTTTCAAGCAGTTCATTTAAGCAGCAAATTGTAGTAGAAAGAACTCTTCTTTACTGGCTATATGATCCTGGATGTGCCACTTAACATCTTTTTTTTTTTCAGTTTTTTTTTTTTGGCCAGGGCTGGGTTTGAACCCGCCACCTCTGATACATGGGGCCGGTGCCCTACTCCTTTGAGCCACAGGCGCCGCTCTTAACATCTGTGATCATTGGCTTCCTTCTCTGGAAAATAGGAGTTAATAATAGTGCCTACTGCACAGGGTTGTTGTGAGGATTAAATTAGAAATTATCTGGGGAAAGTACTTGAAAATTATTATATAAGGTTGTTATTCATGTGTGTATTTATTGAGCACTTACTATCAGGGGATCCTACAGAAATAGTCTGACTTGATACCTATCCTTTGATAATGTAGTTAGGGAGGCAGCATTAATCACTGCAGAAAGCAGTAATCACTGCAAAGAGCATATAGCCAAATGCAGAAAGTGTTGATCAGCTATTTATTGAATGTAGCTGAAAAGGTTTGAGGGTCATTTTCTGACCAGGGAATACATAATTCTTGGGAAAATGAGCTGGATAATAATGAGAATCTATCTTGTTTCTCTACACAGGAACATCGGTCTGCCTGCAGTCAGCTAATCTCCCCGAACCTTGTTCACTGCATCAGGAGATCATAAAGCAAAAGGGTAAATCAACAGTTCTTCTAAGACATTTTACCCAAAGGATTCTCCTTTCTTGCCTGTGACTTTGACAAGGACAGCAAGGGTGAACACTCCAACTGTCACTGCTCAGAAGACAGCCAGCTTATCCTGCAGTCTCAGCTTCTTGGACAGATGATTCCTTTTGTCTTTAAGGACTTTCAGGATAGGGAAGGGATTTCCTGGCCTCTCTAAGCCACCCAGTCCAGTGTATGAAATTTCATATTATCCTACATGCCATAAGACAGATATGCTTCCTCCTCTTTTGTCCTCAGAGAAGGTGAGCCACAGGTTTGGGGCAACTGCATTAAGGGTATTTAGACAGCAAAATTGTTTTGTTCTCCAGTTTTCCCTTCACCAGGCCACACTACCCAGACTCTCTGCCAGTGTATACACTGCACCAATACTGCCTGACACTCCATAACATCAGTTTCTGCTCCCTATTCCCATAATGGGTTATTTCCCAACGAATCAGCAGCCAATATATTCTAAGTATTGTGAGACTTGCAATCATTTAAGAAGGGAGCTTATATGACTAGCACACAGGAAGCAGCTGCAAGGAATAGGAACACTTAAATTATGCAGCACAGACTCTGTAATCACTGAAAGAATCAGAGTTCTGTAAAATAGTACTGAGGTGGGGAAAATATGGGTGAGAGAAGAGAGGAACAATGTGAACCAAAGTTAGGTAGTGCTATGTGAACTTACAACAGACATCCTCAACAGATGATGCATGACAGGAGAATTTGTTCTTTCATTTAATGAACGTCTACCAAGTGCAGGGCACTGAGTGAGACCCAGGTCACGCCAAGATGAAGAAAGCCTGGTCTCCATCTTGGAAAAGCTGACAAGAGCCCCATCAGGCAGGTCTAAGATTTCATTGAGACTCTGGCAGATGCCCCTTTCACCACTCATGTGCTGTATTGTGATTCTAGGTATCTTTGTCTAATTTCTTTGCCTCTTTCTTCCCTGTCCCCAAACTGCAAGGCTCTTAAAGACATAGACTGTGCCTCATGCAAAGTATGTCCTCCACACTGGTGTGTTGAAATTCACTGAGCTGAAACCAGAGCAGGAATTTGGCTGTTCCTTCCAGCCAAGAGTGGTGGATATCCTTAGCAGTGGTGGATATCCCCACCAGAGGCTGTTCACGGCCTACAGAATTCGGTGGGAGCTTCTCTTGGCAATTACAGTCCCTGTCTACCTTTCCAGGCCCAGTTTCTGCTGTTTTGTCATCCTCTGCCCTAAAGGACTCACTTGCTCTCCTTTTCCTGCCCACACTGGTGTGTTTACAATGATTCTTCCTCTGGGACTCTTACTTCACCCTCGCCTGTAAAAATGTTATGTATCTTTCAATGGCACTTGTCCATGAAGACTTTCATGGCGTTTCCAATGGTATGTGCTTTCCTCAGCTTCTGGAGACCCAACACTTCATTTGTACCTCCCTTATAGTTTGGTTTGTATCAAAGTCTTAGGAGATCTGCGTGATCCCATTCTCCTGGATTATAAAGCCTTTGACACCAAGGACAGAGTCGTATTGACATCTGTGTCTTCTGTTGAGCTAACTCTGTTCATGGCTCATGGTAGACATGCAGAACTTAAAAGAGGAGTTTGAGTAGAACAGGATCTGCGGGGGCTAATTCCTTGGCCCCTTCATCATTGTGAGCATTTTCCTTAACTGTTTGAGAAATTTCCCAGTCTCTTGCCAACTTGTCAAGCCCAAGGACTCCAATAACAGTCCAGCAATTTCAAGGTATAAGGGGAGTGTTGTCTCAAAGTGCCTGCACACCCGAAGGCAAACACACAGAGTTTCTTTTAACTCAGGTAATGAGTGTACACCACAATGATGGATTCCCCCTGAAACTAATTAAGTCTATTCTACATCAGGCAAGTTGAGAGGAGCCCTAGGAAAGCTCACACTGTTCCAAGACACTGGGATAGGGTGGCAAGGAAGGTTAGTAAGAAGGGAGCACACGTATCCCTTAGGTCCCTGCCAGGAGCACATCATGCACTGCCATGGCTGCCTGCCAGGCAGTTTTGCTCTCTGCATCGGGCTCTCTGTGGACAGCTGCTTCTGCGTTTCTTTCCCAACAGGGCAAACTCCTTTCTTTGTCTTTGCCCCCAGGTCTGTGGAGGTACTCCCAGCCCTCTCCTTGCTTATAGCAATGGACCGCCCACTTAACCCTCCTGTGGCACCTCCGTCAACGCTATCTGAGCAAGCCACTCAC